GGACACTTGAACCGGGAGAACTGGGGCAGAGGGGCCGTGCTGGGGCACAGCAGAGTGCCCAGCTCTGCGTTCCTGCTGCTGCTGGGAGGGACCCCGGGACCCCCCGAGCCCCCCGAGGCGCTGCTGCTTACCCATGACCCGGGCCTGGACCGTGACCTTGACGTGGCCGTGGCTGGGGCTGGCCAAGAGCAGCTCCTCCCTCAGCACCCCCTCCTTGTGGGCCGTGTACTCACAGTGCACGCTGAGCCCTGCTGACACACAGGGGGCTGAACCCTGCCTGCACCTTCCCTGCCCTGCCTGCACCTTCCCTGCCCTGCCTGAGCCCTGCCTGCATCTTCCCTGCCCTGCCTGCACCCTCCCTACCCTGCCTGACCCTTCCCTGCCCTGCCTGAGCCCTGCCTGCACCCTTCCTATCCTTCCCACCTTTCCCATGCCCTCCATACCCTGCCTGCCCCCTTCCCACCCTGCCTGTGCCTGCCCTACCCTGCCCTCTTTCTATCCTCCCAGGATGTCCCCTGTACCTCCCCCCCAACCCTTCCCATCCTTCCCATGCCCATCCCCACCCTTCCCAAACCCTTCCCATGCCCTTCCCCAATCCTTCCCATGCCCTTCCCAAATCCTTCCCAAACCCTTCCCATGCCCTTCCCAAACCCTTCCCATGGCCCTCCCATGCCCATCCCACTCTTGCTGCCCACCCCCAGCAGAAGCCCCCCCAGAGCTGGGAGTGAGGAGCAGGGGGGACCCTGCCCATCCCAGTGCCAGGCTGGGGGCCCACAGCCCCCTCTGAGACCTCAGGACCAGCAGGATGGGATCTGGCCCATGGCCAGGCACTCCTGGCACTCCTGGCACTGCTCCAGCCCGGGATCCGGGAAGCAGAGCCCGCAGTGGAGCCCTGGAGTCCCCAGGGCCTCGGGGACAGACACCACAGTGAGTCCCCACACCCTCCTGAAGTGCTGGGGGTCCCCAGGGGCTCCTGGCCCCGCTCCCAGCAGTGCCAGACTGGCTTACAGCTCCAAACAGAGCTGGAGAGCTTTCCTGGGACACAGCCAGCCGCGTGTGGAAAGAGCCACAGCCCAGCCCTGGCCCTGCTGCCAGGAGGGGACACCCAGGGGACAGGGATATGGGAAAGAGGGGACACCCAGGGACAGGGATGTGTGACCCTGGCTGTGTCACAGCTGGATGGGACCGGATAGGTGGTCCAAGGGACACGCCATGTCCTCAGAGCACACCCTATGGCCCCACAGAGCTGTCCCCTCAGCCCAGGGTGACACTGAGCTGGCCCAGTGCCACCACACACAGTCCCACTCCCATCTGCTGTGGATGTGCCAGTGCCAAACTGTGCCCAAACTGGAGTCCTTCCCTGTCCCAAACCCCATCCCTGTCCCTGTCCCTGTCCCAAACCCCATCCCTGTTCCCCCTGTCCCAAACCCCATCCCTGTCCCTGTCCCAAACCCCATCCCTGTTCCCCCTGTCCCAAACCCCATCCCTGTCCCAAACCCCATCCCTGTTCCCCCTGTCCCAAACCCCATCCCTGTCCCTGTCCCAAACCCCATCCCTGTCCCTTGTCCCCCCAGCCCATGGGCTCCGACCCAAACCCACCTCTGTGGGGACAGGAGGGGACAAGGGGCACAAACAAGGGGGGGCCACTTTACCTTCTGGCAGGGAGGTGACACTGAGGACCCGCAGGTTGGGGTTGGGGACAGGCAGGGCACACACATCCCCCTCCCCACTCTGCTCCAGGGGCAGCAGGAACATGATCTCGTACTTGTGCAGGATCTTCAGGAATCCCACCTGGAAGGGGGGACATCCCCTTGATTAATCCAGGGGGCATTCGTGTCCCAAATAATTGGGAAAACGTAACAAACACGATTATTTTGGACAAAAAAAAAAAAAACCAACAAAAATACCCAGTTTTGGGCAAAACTCTGGGAACAACAACCCGAGGGTGTCACGGGAGCAGGGAGCAGTTTTCCAGCACAAGCCATTCCTGGTCTGGAAGAGCCAGGAGCGTGTCTTGCCATGGAATTTCTCCCCTGCCATGATGAAAAGCAGAGCACTCCGGAGCAGGAGGCCTCGGAAAAAGCCATTTTGGGAAGGGAGCAGCGAGCTGGGTGGGACACAAACCATTCCTGAGGGACAACCCTGAGCAGAGCTGGGATCCAGCACTGCCAGAGGGTGAATCCCCCCAGCCCCCTGTCCTGGGCTCATCCCCAGCACTCGGGGAAGGGAAGGTCCAGGGAGAGCTGAGAGCCCCTGGCAGGGCCTAAAGGGGCTCCAGGAGAGCTGGAGAGGGACTGGGGACAAGGCATGGAGGGACAGCACACAGGGAATGGTTTCCCACTGGAAAAGGGGAGATTTGGGTGGGATACTGGGGAGAAATTCTTCCCTATGAGGATGGGGAGGCCCTGGAATGGATTTCCCAGAGAAGCTGTGGCTGCCCCTGGATCCCTGGAAGTGTCCAAGGGCGGGTTGGACGGGGCTTGCAGTAACCTGGGATAGTGGGAGGTGTCCCTGTGTGGGCTTTTCCCCCCCCACACCATTCCATGATTTATCCACTTCAAACCATGGAAAACTATTTGGCACCAGCCCTCAGGAGCCTTTTCTCCAGAGGGCCTGGAGCACCCTAGACCTGCTGGCCGTGTCCTGGACCCCCATATCCCCATCAGGGACCCCATATCCCCATCAGGGACCCCATATCCCCATCAGGGACCCCTGTGGCCCTACCAGGAACCTCCATATCCCCACCAGGGATCCCCTGTCCCTGAGCTGGGTGTGGGGGCTCTGCCATCCCCCCCTGTCCCCCAGCAGTGTGTGGGGCTGTGGGGCTGTGTCCCTGAGCTGTGTGTGTGGCTGTGTCCCCGTGCCCAGGCTCACGTGCCGTGCCGGGGTGCCGGTCACGCGCCGCGCGGGGGGAAGGAGGAGCGGCCGCCCCCGGGGAGCCGCTTTCGGGGGCAGCTCTGGGAGCCTCCCCTGCACTCAGGCTCTGACTCAGCGCTGCTGGAACACGAGGTGTCACCACGGGGGGCTGGCTGTCCCCCCTGCTATCCCCCCTGCTGTCCCCCTCGTTGTCCCCCCGCTGTCCCCAGCATCACCCAGCGGGTCCCCAGAGCCCCCCTGCCAACCCAGCACCCAAACCTGCTCCCAGCCATGGACTGGGGGGAAAATGGGAGAATCCAGAGCCAAGCACCCATCGGTGCCCTCAGGAGCGGCACAGCCACCCCTGGGGGAGCACAGGGTGTGACAGGGAGCTCGTGGGGTGTGAACACCCCCAGGGCTGGGGACTGTGCCCAGAGACCCCCAGGATGGCCCCAGTCCCTCGGGGTGGGGCAGGGAGAGCCAAGGGTGACCCCAGGGTGACCCAGCCCCCCCTCCCCACCCCTGTGCCCACCTTGACCAGGAAGCTGCCGTCCTTCTCCTGGGTCACCATCACGGCCGAGTCGTGGAGCTGCTCCTGGAAGTGCACGTGGGCCCCCTCGGGGGGGGGGCTGGGGGCGAAGCGCACGGAGCCCCCCTTGCCCTTGCTGCCTGCAAGGGGGTCACAGAGCCCCTGGTCACAGCCCCCTCCGTGTCCCCAGGGGCTGGGACCCCCCACCCGGGGCTGGGGGGGTCACGGACCGAGGCTGGAGTGTCCAGGGGCTGGGGACACGGGGACACAGTGACACAGGGAACAGGGCCATGCCCCCACCCGATGCCCAGAGGGTCCCCGAGGGTCCCTAAGTGTCCCTGAGGGTCTCCAGGTTCAGCAGCATCTGCTCCATCCCGTGACCTCCTCGGGATGAGCGGTGACAGTGGGGGGGGACACGGGGGACCAGTGGTCACAGCGAGCTCCTCTCCGAGCAGGGACCTGCCACCAGATGATGCCCAGAGGGTCCCCAAGGGTCCCCCAGTGTCCCCTGGGCTCGGCAGCATCTGTTCCCCTCCCCAGCTGGGCCCTCCTCGGGTGGCACAAGGCCAGGGGGCAGGACAGCCTCCCACCCAGCCCAGGGCCAGGATTTTGGGGAGCAGCCCCCAAGCCACCCGGCCCTGGGAGGTGACAAAGGACCCCCAGGCACATCCCCCGGGGGATTTTGCACGTGCTCGGCTCCATCAGGCTCCGTGGGTGCCTCTGCACGGAAAAGCAGCCTCTCTTCCTCCCCCTCCTCCTCCTCCTCCTCCCCCCCGAGCCCCCGGCCCCGCTGCCTCCATCTGGCAGAGCCGGCAGCAGATTGTCGCCTCCTTGCCTGAAGAAAAGGCTCTTTGTGCTGGAAGCGCCGGGAATCCCGGGATTTAATGACCCGGCATTGTTCAGCCGGAACAGCGCGGCCGAAATCCCTTCCACACGCAGGGACAGCGAGGGACACGGCGAACGAGGGACGTGGCCACACACGGGGACACGCGGGGGACGCCCTGTGACAGGGCATGGCCCCCCCCTGCCCCGCTGACCCCTCCCGGGCGCCACGATCCCAAGGATCTGGGGGGATCCCACATCCCGATCCCAGGACGGGGATGGGATCGCTCCCGGCCCGGGGCTGCCGGCGGGAATCCCAGTGCCAAGCCCCGGCTCGCGGCGGGGATAATCCCAAAGGAGGCTTTGTCACACGGGAGGACAGGTGACACTTGGGGACAGCACCCGGGGGGCCACAGGGCACGGGATGGCACGGCCAGGGAGCCTTCAGGCAGAGGGAGGCTGCGGGAGGATGGAGGTGGCACCGCGGGCAGCTGGCCCGGCATCCCGCTGGCCCAGCCCCGAGACACGTCCCTGTCCCCGCTCGGGAGGGGACAGCGCGGACCTGGCGGGTGGGGACAGCCCTGGAGGAGCCTGAGGGGGTGACAGTGGCACTGGAGGGGTCACAGGCAGGGTGGTGACAGG